TTAAATTTTCGATTATTGCTGGGTTTAGACCTTGAATCAAGGTGAATTACCTCAATCTTTGATTTTTGCTGTTTTGGTTCATTCTCAAATGTTTACAATATGTTTTTACTTCGATTGCTCGGTTGCATTGTTTTTACATTTGATGAAACGGGTCCTCATTATTAATTGTAGAATTATGAATGGTTTTGATTGGGTATCACTATTTCTTTCTAATTCAATTTGGAAAATACATACATGTACGGCTTTCGTGTTGATTTATGTATAATTTTGATTATAAGTACACATGTTCACGTTTAGGCTATTCTTTTACTCTTTGATCTTAGGTGTAAAAAAAGTTTGTAATTGTTAGTGCTCATTTAAATTGCTTCAGAGAATCAATCTTTCTTTTAGTTATTGAATCTCTCTTTAATTGATCAATGTGTGATGTTCCGAATCCTCATTACTAATGGAATCCAAATGATCTCTAGATTCTTTAAGTTGGCTAGAATCCATTACTTGAATGAAACTAGATCTTCACTGTTTGCCAAAATGCCACATTTCATTTTAATCCAGGATTTATATTGCTTGAATTTTTTATTTTTTTTCTTTTTTTTAGCTTCAGTGATTTTCCTTGATAATCCTTAACTGAACTGATTTCTAACAGTAGTTCTCTTTTTACAGGAATTCTCTACTGTTCCGTGTTGAATTCAACTTCAAATGAGTAATAAGAGAAGAAATGAAGAATATAGTGACTTTGAGAATGATGAAGAGAAAACTTCAATACGATTTGTTGGTTTCAAGGGCCAAGATCCTGAACTCACAATATCACAATCGATTGATTCTCACAACAGGTTACAGAAAGTATCTGTTAACTTTCGAACAAGAGTTCGTCGTGTATTGGATATCCATAAAGAATATCCATCAGGCATTATGGAGAACCGCAAGATAGAAAATCAATTGCATGGATCAAACCACGTGATTGATCAATTTGCTGATTCTACACTTTTTGTTGTGCAGAGATGGTGTGTTTTTTTTCCCCACAACAGATCAAATTATATTCGTTTTTCTTTTTTAAAACTTTTTCCAAACATAATTTTTTTTATTAATTGCAGGAGGAACCTGTTTGATCTTGTTGAACTCGATTATAATTCAGTGTCATTCTTCGTTCTTAAGAAGAAACAGACTCCAAGTTCACGCTGGTTGAGAGTTGGGAAGGGAGCTGCCAGGGTAAATTTGATCAAAATTGACTTCTAATTTAAACCATTTCTAGTTCTCTTATAAGAATATTTAAACGCTCAAAATTCTTTTTATGCAGGTAGGGAGAGGTCTATTCAAGAATGAGAAAGCTCAGAAACTTGTTTTAGAACATTGGCTTGAGTTAGTAAGTAACATTTCTTTATACATTATACGCAGCATTCTTTTTGTTTTACCTCTATTATAAATGGATACCTGACTTGGATAAGTTAATGCATGTACAGATTGATGTTCAGCATCGCTATGGACAAAATCTTCGATTATATTTCATAGAGTGGTTTCGTTCTTCAACCATGGAACCCTTCTTCTACTGGTAATTTGTGATATATACCTTATACATCTCTTCCTTTTTTGTCTTGAGAATCATACATATGACATGGTGGTCCTGGATTTTTAATAATTTTGGTTAATGAAGGTTAGATAAAGGCGAAGGAAAGGACCTAAATCTTTTGGAAAAATGTCCTAGATTGCAACTTCAACAGCAGTGCATCAAATATCTTGATGATGTATATCCTTTCATCTAATCATCAGATGTTGATTTGAACAAACTGGTTTTTTAGAATTCAGAGATTTCTTACTGGTTGTTTTGTAACTTTTCAGATCGAAAGGAAAGCTTATGAAGTTATAGTGGAAGATGGGAAGCTATACTACAAGCAGAGTTGGAAAATCCTTGACACCACTGGAGAACCAGATGGTGTCAAATGGATTTCTGTGCTCAGCACCTCTAAGGAATTATACATTGGACGGAAAACGAAAGGTGCATTTCATCACTCTAGCTTCTTGGCTGGAGAAGCCACGTCCGCTGCAGGGAGGATAATTGCTGAAAAGGGCATTATTAAAGTAATATTCTCGTAAAAGCAATCCAACTTTTCTTACTATTGTAACACTGCATCATTAATTTAATCTGAATTTTGTATTCTGACAGGAATTGGGGCGTAAGAGTGGCCACTATCGACCAACTGAAGAAAATTTCCAGGACTTCCTCTCATTTCTTAGGGAGAAAAATTTGAATGTCACACACATTAAGGTACAGAAACAGTGAAATTTTATGTAATTTCTTTTTCATTCCCTTGGCATGGTGGTAAGGATAGAGAGTTCTCGGATTGGACCTTATGGTTGAAAACTCGCCACAAGCATATTTGGCTTAATTTAAAAAGTCCACTTATGAGTAAAATTTTCTTTTAAGTTACCAGTTTAAAAATGCAGTTACTTATGCTGAAATTTAGACAAAAAATGTTTCTTAAAGAGTGATTACACCTTTTCTATAAGCTTATTAGCTAAAGTGCTTTTATAACAGAGACTTTTCTACCTTTTCTCCTTTGCTTCCTTTTCCTAAGTTTCCTTTCTTAATATAGAAAAGAATTTGAAAGGTTCATGAAATTTAATTTCATGTTGTTATTCAGCTAAACTCATTGGACGACAAAGAACCACTTGGCCAAAAGGCCAGATGTTTATGGAGAAATAACTCATTGGATGACATTCCCGATGATATATTGGTGATACAAAAGGATGACCTGGACGACTCAACTTTAGAGAAGGTTGCTGTTGCTTCAGCAGAATTATCATCCCAAATGCCTTCTTAAAAGTCAGTCGATATTCAGACACCATGTAAGGATGATCAATGGAGTCTGTGCAAAGATCAAAAGGTTGAATCAAACTCCTACATTGTCGTGTTAGATTCTACGCAGAATGAATTAAAGCATTGGAAACATTCATTTCTTTAAATCTTTATACATTAAATTTTTACTTTTAAAATTCTTTTACTTGTACAAAATTCTTCCTGTGGTGTTTTGAAGCAGGAAATCCTGAAGAAGTTGAATAAATGACATATTATTGTTTGATGTTGACCATGACTAGGTCTAAATGCCTCAACAGTTATATGCAGCATTAAAAGTATTTATTTCTCTAAGACTCTCTCTGTGTAAAAACTTACAATCAAAATATTTTTACAAGAGCTTTGACTCGATTTTTCATGACAACAATCATGGTTTGGGTTGCAAGGAATTGAGTTAGAGAAGTTGGCCTAAAAGAGTCACAATAAATGTTGTTCTAAACTCATGTGGTCTCCCCTTCGTGTGGGTACTTTCGACACTGAACACCTCCAAGATAAAATTCTAATAGCTCGTTGCGGATTCTCCTTCTATAAGCACTAACATAGGAAGAAAAAGAATAAAGTCTTGTCAATTGTCAAAATTATAGAAGAAGATAATATAA